AGCTCTTGCCAGGAAAGAAGCATGGGCCTGGTGGGGAAAGGCACTAAGCTGGGCACGGCATCCTCAGCCCGAGAGCCTCTGACCTCACCTTCTGGATCCCTGGGTCCTGTGAATACAGCAGGTCTTTCTGTACGTGCTGCCCTGAGCCAGAGCCCCACCTTCCACCGAGCTGCAGGACACCTTGTACAGTCGAGTCTGGCTGTCACTCCCTTTGCTCATCTAAAAGGCTGACGCTTGTCCAGTGAAGTCAATGGAATTGCCTTTCAGGGCAAAAGCTGTGCGTCTGGTCATAGTGACCGTAGTAGGAATGGCCGGAGCAGGGCTCAGTGCCGTCTATAATGTGGGTCCTGTCTAAGTCCCCTCCTCCTTCCAGGACTGGGCTTCTAGTCCTCCAGGCACTTCTGATACTGGGTGCTAAGGTCGGGTGCCTGTCCTCTGGAGGAGGAGGTGTGAGGAGAAGTGCTGTGGACCCAGCAGTCTACAGAGTGTCACTTGGATGCCTTTACTGACCAGGCCACTTGCTTTTTCTGCAGAAAACAAAGTTCCTTCCATGATTATCTCCTTGACGGATGGAACACTGCTACCAGAGTCCTTTGATGAGACTAAGTACGAAGTGAGTCCAGTCCATCATTACCAGTATTTTGTTCCACATATTTAGTGATTTATACTCACCACTTGCCTTCTCTTAGGCTGCAAAGGCTCGGAAAATGGGGTCAACCATTTATGCCATTGGTGTAAAAGACTATAGGAAAGACCAGGTAATTCCAAACAGGTAACCAGGTGCCACCTGTAATCCTAGATGAGGAACTTTCAAAGACAGTTTTCCCAGGGTTGCCCAAGGATGCTCCTCGGCAGAGGAGAATAATGGCTAACAAGGAAGAAATGAACAAGTGTCATGTCAAATCTCCACACCCAAAGTGCGGAGTAAAGTAAAGTAAGGGCTTTCCCTTCCCTAACGGTGGGCTGCTGGCCAAGGCCAGGGTCTGGGCCTCAGAGTCTAACATGGCATGAGGCAAGAGACTGCCTCCTGGGATGGGGACTTCTGTGTCCTAATCCCCTACCTATGCGCCCAAGTCACCTCCTCTCCCTTGTAGCTGTTGGAAATTGCAGACAGCCCAGAACACATGATTGGAGTGGACAATGGATTTAAGGAACTGAGAAGCATCGTAGAACCAGTGAGTAAGGGATGGGAGAAAGGGGATGGGGTGACATCTCACCACAACCTCCCGTGCACTGTCCCTGATCTGCCACCCCTCTTTCTATTCCAGCTCACAAGTAAGGCATGTATTGAAATTACAAAAGTGGAGCCTGTGCATTTGTGTGCAGGAGGTAAGAGCTAGAGTCACTGTTGTAAACACAGGGATGTATGTTGTGAGTATGTGCTGTGTGCGTGGTGGGTGTGATGTGAGCATGCAGTTTCAGTGTGTGGTGTGTGTATGCATGCGTAGTTGTATAGACGTGCGCATTGGATATGTAAGCAACTGTATCATTTTGTGAGGTGTTCGTGCCAGGAATGATATGTGGGTATGTGTGTATTTCTTTTGTATTTGTTTTTGACATAATTTGTATATTCCTCTCTGTATAAGTTTAAAATATACCGTGATTTCACATACACATATTGCAAAATGAGTACCACAATACGTTTAGTGTTATAACTTTTTTTTAACTTTTATTTATTTTTGAGACAGAGAGAGACAGAGCATGAACAGGGGAGGGGCAGAGAGGGAGGGAGACACAGAATCTGAAACGGGCTCCAGGCTCTCAGCTGTCAGGACAGAGCCCGACACGGGGCTCGAACTCACGGACCGCAAGATCATGACCTGAGCTGAAGTCGGACGCTTAACCGACTGAGCCACCCAGGTGCCCCCTGTTATAACTTTTTAAAATATCAGAACCAAAAGTTTAATTAAGAAATAAGAAAAAAATATATTTTGAAAGCCCTCAACAAAATGCCAGCAAATGGAATCTGAATCTGACAACATGTAAAAAGAAGGGTCCATCAATAATAATTAGGGATCACCCCAGGAATGCAAGTCAATTCAGTATTTGAAATATCAGTGTAACTTACCACATCAGCAACATGAAGAAAGAAAAACATGATTATCTCAAAGGACGAATAAAAGAATTGGAACAGTTCAATGGCCAGCATCATACTAGAAACATAGTCCGACAAAAGGTATCCACACAAATACAGCAAACAACACACCTTGTTCTGTGGGGAACGCCTCTCCCCGACATCTGGAACTTCACAAGCGTGCCCTCTCCCCCCCTACAAAGGTCCCTGAGTCAGTCTGGTGAGGACATCCTGTGCAGTGACTTTTGTGATAGAAACCCCCTCCCTGCGATGAGCTCTGTGTGTACGGGCTTATATGTCTCATCATGGAGACTGGTACTGAGGAGGGTGGATGAGCACACTTACTCCCCTGGTAACAGCACACACAGCTGGATCCGGCCAAACGCAGACCCAGAGACCGGGTCGGCCTCTGTGCTCTTAACTGTAAGGCTATCGTGCAGTAGACCATGGGGTCAGACACAGCTGTGTTCAGATCTGGCTCTGCTGCAACCTGGAGCAAATT